TGGAATTTAAAACAAGCTAGGAAGACCAAGGCCTTTCCTAACATGGGGTCCAGTTCTGTACCCTTCTGACAGAGGACTGATTTGTCACTACTCCTTTCTGTAAGGTCCTGATCAATTCCTGCCAGGAGAGTTAGAATAAAAGAAATTCAACGGGAAGCAAAAAGAAAACAAACATAACTTTTACAAGACTCAATGGAATTGGGATTAATACTGGAAATTTACTAAGTAGCAGCCATCATTGTGGTGCAGTGGGTTAAGCCACCACTTGCAATGCCAGCATCTCATGTGAGCATGAGTTTGAGTTCTGGCTGTTCCACTTCTGATACAGCTCCTTGCTAATGCACCTGGAAAAACAGTGGAAGATGGCCCAAATACTTGGGCCTCTGCCATCCATGTGGGAGACCCAGAATGGTTGGTGTTCCTGGCTCCTGGCTTCAGGCTGGTCTAGCCTGGCAGTTGCAGCCATGTGGGGATTGCACCAGCAGGTGGAACATCTCTCTCTGTTTCTCCCTCTCTAACTTTGCCATGTGGCAAATAAGTAGTCTCAAAAAAAAATTTTACTAAGTTTTAGCAGAAGCCAGTAAATACTTTCCTCTCCTTTCCAACTTTATTTGGACTCAAATCACCAAAATCTTGAACTGAGAGTTTTATACATTACTTGGTTCAGCTCTTTCATTGTGTTAATCCAATGTTATTCAATGAGTCACTGACTAAAATGAAAGCCCTTTTACTTCCCCCACCTTTTCCCTTATATTTCTCTAAGAGGTAGAAAGTATACTTATTTTGTATCAGCATGGTAGTACTAACTGCCTATTATTGACCTAGGAAAGACTGTAATGCCCTTCCTCACTCTGCCTAGCAAAATCCTAATGTATCTCATAAGGCAAAGCTCGAATGTCACCTTCTCTGTGAGACTGCTTAATTAGCTCCCAAGTAGAATTCATCATTGCTACCACTGTTGTCCCACTGGGTCTCTCAGTGTTAAGATTGTGTTTCTGTCACAGTATTTACCACGTTGTAAGAGTTGTGTCTGTTTGCTCTGCTAAAACCTGAACTTCTGAAAAAGCGAGACCATTTTTCATGTCACTGTAAATCTGCACAGCAGGGCACAATGACTGGCCCCTGGTAGGTGCTCACTGAATGTTCCCTAAATTAATTATGACCAAAGTAATTCTGCTTCCCTTCCCCAATCAACTCTCCACTTCTGTGTCATCTGGGTAGATCTTACTCAGTTCCGTTTGGGCACATTTTTAATAGGCCTGAAAAACCAATTCACTACCTGGTCCCTTTGTGATCTCCCTTGGATGGAGGGCCCCCGGGACTCAGCCCACAAGGTACTGTTGCAACTCACATGGGCTAACTGCTTTTCCTGTCACCCGTGACTGTGCCTTAGATGGCCTAATCACACTCTATATGCAGCCCTCCCACCCCAACACTGAAGCAACTGTGGCTAAAAACAAAGTTCCCTGAATTTGCCCTTGATGTTAAATAGTTTAAAAACAAAAAAGTCTGGGGTCATTATCTACTAAATTCATGAACTTGAGAAACGTAAGTTTAAAAAGTAATTCCTACCACTCCAGAGGTCCCCATTGCTCCTAAAGCTACAATGTAGCCCAGAAGTCTGCACACAAGCTGCCCCTCTGAGCACTTCCCTTATTCAGCTCAGTTGCTGTTCAGTGAATGCTGTTTCCTAGAACACTCCTGGGAAGTAGGAGTATAACGTGCAGGGAGTTTATGGTGCCCTTCCTCTCAGAGGGCTGCTATATTTCCTTATTTCAAGCTCACTGTTTCACACTTTGGCTACTTTCTCATCAGAAACGCTTTAGGATTAGGGAGTGGGCTATATAACTGCTCCTCCTACTTTGAGCCTTGTTTTCAGCAGTCTACTTCACGTCAGTGCACACGAGCAAAACAGAGAAGAGCAACCCTTGCTGCTAGGCAAAGAATTAGATGATACAAGGTTATGATGACATGGGACAACAGAAGAGCCCTCTTCTCCAAATATAGTCTTGCAACTCCAGGTCCATGTTTGAAATTCACATTGATAATTCCACTCCGTAGCTCCCTCTTAAGGTGCACAAGTCCTTGAAAGACTCAATACTTTAAATGACTGTGTGTTACTTACACTTTAATACGGAACAATTCCAGATTCTTCTATGAAGGTAAGTTTTGATGAAGGGTAAAGTAGATAAAAAAAAAAAACACAAAGGAACATAGAGCAGAAACAGGATATGATGAGGAGATGGGATATGATGAGGGTTCAGAAAATGGCAGAATGGACAGGGTTAAAACATACATTCCGCTATACAATTTTCTCAAGAACTGGCTTGGCAGGTGAGAAAAGTTCTTTAAATAGGGAACAATAAGCATCATTTCTGATGGGCAATGTAAAGGCAGGACATATTAGAAGGATTCTATAAAGCCAGTAAGGACAAATTAAAGTAACAGGGTAGTAGTATGAAATGCTCTAGCTATGGGGTGGCTTTGGGGCACAGCAGGTTAAGCTGCACTTGGAACACCTGCATCCCATATCAGAGTCCCCCATTCAAGCTCTGCTATTCAATTTCTTACCCAACTTCCTGCTACTGTATCCTGAGAGGCAGAAGATGACGGCCCAAGTGCTTGGGGGCTCTGCCACCCAGGTGGGAGGCCAGGATGGAGTTCCAGGCTCCAGGCAGCCTGGCCTAGCTCTGCCTGTTATGTGCATTTGGGGGAGTAAACCAGCAGATCAATTTCTTTTTCTCTGTTGCTCTGTCAAGCAGAGGAAAATAAACAGACATTAAAGACATAGGAGGGGAGGGGAGAAGAGAGGAAGAAATGCCCTAGCCATACACTCAACTCCGATTTAGAAGAAAACCAATTTCAAGTCTAGAGAAACTTGGAAGCTTCTCAGATCCCTTTAGAAAGAGAGATACAAGGGGCCTCTTAGGAAAATCATTCTCATTTTCCAGGATAAGGAATGGATGGTTAAGTGATGTGAATATGCAGAGACCATGAACCAGAAGACAGAAGTCTTGAATTCTTCACTTTCAGACATGCCAATAATTATCCTAGACAAAATGGTCTGATTCACCTTAATGTTTCTTTCTTGCCGATAAAACAGAAAAAAATTTTCTCCCTCTACCTCAACATTTCTTAGGGTCTCTAGTGCACAACTGGGATGTGTGTGTGTACTGCAGGAAACAAACGATAACCTAAAACACACCCCTCCCTTGGTTGTCTGAATTTGGTGGAAAATAAAATGGCCAGTGAAAGAATAACAGACTAACACCGAAAAGGTAAAGAAATGACAGATGACAGTCTGATAACACAAAAACAGAATTGCTTTTGATGGCACATCCCCCAGTTAGATCAGTCTGGTCTCGACCTCCCTGAGTCAAACAGGAGGTATGTGAAGGAGGACTTGCACTGTGTACTTCTGTACAGCACAAGTAAAAGTACTTAAAAACATATGGATATTTTGTAACTCAGGAATGCATTGATAAAATACATCAGTATAGAAGGGAAAAAGGAGGAAGTACAGCCAGGGAAAATCAAATAGGCTCCCATTTATCAGGGACTAGGTCAGCAGACCATTAAAAATGGAGAGAACAGGATTCCAATCCTCTGCCTTCTTTCTTCTCTATTCCTCCATTCCTCAAATACCTGATGGTTCGACTCAACTTCCTAATAGCACAGAAACCTGGGCTCCTGAGGAAGTGGACAAAGAACAAGGTGGTGATGCCAACCTTCTGCAATGGAATTTCTCCTTCTCCAAATCTCTTCCTCACTGGTATCACCTCTTAATTCCAGGCCTGGTTAACTTCAGTACCTGACCAGGAACGCCCCAAGTCTAAGTCCCACAAAAGTTTCCACCAACTACGCTCAGACTATCTCTTGATGGCCAGGGATCCCTAAGTTCCTTTCTGGGTAAATAATGAGATCATTGCCCATTTCTAGGCTGAAGACCACATTATTAAGTGGGAAAGAACTGAACAAAACATCGCCAAGTTACCAACTTCTTTCGCCAGACAGGAATCCGTGGTAGGGAAGAGAAGAACTGCAGTCTAAGACCAGACCCAGAGAGAAAGTGCAGGGGCTGAACCAGGAGCAGTCAACAGTCATGGGGAAAAAAGTAAACTCACTTCTTTCTCCGTTCCCTACCCTGGGACTATCAAAAACCTTCCCACTGCCCCAGCGAGACGCTAAGGGGAACAAAAGAACGGGTTCTCCCGAGGCTCAGCGTCCAGCCCACCCTGCAGCACAGCCCCAGAAGCCCCGGCAAGGGACACCAGGCCCTGCTTCCGTGCCCTCAACTACCTCAGTCTTCCAGACGAGCAGAGCTGCCCTCGTCTCCCTGAACAGAAATCCTCTCGGCTTCACATCACAGCACCCCCAGTCTCTTCACGGCAGCCACTTCCCCTCAAAAAGAATGCCTCTTAGCCAACCTAAGAGCCCTTCTCGGGCCCTCCCAGTTAAGACAGCCCTCCAAGAGACCCGGCCCCGGCTACCCCCGGGGCCCGGGCGTCAGCTCTGACCCCTTCTCACCGCCAGGCAAATGGGCTTACCTCACCCGCTGCCCCGTCCCTTTCCCCAGCTCCTCCCTCTCCATGAGTAATGAGGCCTTCCCCTACCCTCGCACGGCCTCCGGCTCCCGGCCGCCGGGATCCAGCCGCCTCCCCAACTTCAGCCTCCCAGCCCGCCCGGTCCCCTCCTCAGCGCCCCCACTAGGCCTGCCGGGGCCCGGCCCCCTTCTCCCCTCTCCACTGGGCCACTCTCTAACCCCTCGCCTAGGCCCAGACCCGACTGCGCTCTCAGGCCAGGCCGCTCTCATCTCCCGGCGCCTCTGCCTCTGCCCTTGTGGGCTCCATCAGCTCGGTACCTGGGGCTCCGTCTCCCCCGTCGGGCCCAAGCCTGTGTCGAACAGACAAACAGCTGCAACTCAACCAAACCTCCTGCCCCTCCTCCTCCTCCTCGCCCTGGGGCGGGGGCCCCAGCCAATAGCATGATTACCCGCCTACCATCGAGGGTGGGCTGTATGTGCACTCATCCGCCAATCCTCTGGAGAAAGGCGGGACTCTTGGGGTGCTGTCGCCAACGAGTACGAGCAAGGGACTGGACAGGCAGGGTCATAAGCCAATACAGGGAGAGAAACCTGGAAGACGGACGAGGTGATGGGCCGTTAAAGAGCGAGCTCCCGGAGACAGGGGGCGGTACGTCGTTGATAGACGTGCGTACCAGCCAATAAAACCTCGACACCCCATGACCCCCGCCTTTTGACTCATAAACATCTAATCAGGTGAGTGATGGAGGCGGGTCCAAGTGAGACTTTAGCCAGTGCTGCGGAAATTCGGGACTTGACTGGCAGGCAAGGCGGGGTTGAAGGAAGCCTGAGGGAGGCCGTTACTGACCTTCGCTCCTCCCCCTGGATTTGGCGGGGGCTGACTCGGGGCCCCGCCCTCTATGACAAATTCGCGGGCGTAAAGGGAAATACCTCTGAGGGGACCCGGCGCCTGGGAATTTGAGACGCGCCTCAGCGCTCTTCCTTTTAGCGAGGGTTCAGAGGACGTGCGTTTTCGGCGTGGCCTGCGGGCGATCTGAGATGTTTTTTTGATGGAGACAATGGCAACTACAAAAAGCAGTAGCTGGAGACGCCGTGGTAGTAATTTTCTATACTCAGTGGGTATTTTTTGAATTGTATGTAAATGTGAATAAGATAATCTTCAGAAACTCTGCCGTGTGTGATAAGCAACAGAAAGGAAAATCAACGCGGCTTACTGGGAAAGGCGGTGTACAGGTGGATGGATTCTTCTGGAACCTACTTCCAACCCTACTGCAGATTCTGGAATGGTCGCTGTGTGTGTGGGGGTGGTGGGGTGGGGGGAGGTAGGACTTGCTGTGTGGGGAAAGTGAAGGAGGAAATGACAGGGCCTCAGCTTCCCTGGCTGTAAAATGGGTCTAATACCCACGTTACTCACCCTGGGTCCTATCCCAACTCCAAGTGCATCTTAGAGACCAAAACAGAGTGAGAGGGTATCCCTGCCTAGAGAGGCCTAAAACCAGTCACCACAATTTCGCCTGCCTGGTCTCTCTCACACCATTCTTCCCGTGAATAATAGGAGGAACAAAATAACTACAAAACTAGGAACTTTTTTTTTTAATGAATTACAAACTAAATTACAAATAACGTTAATAGTAAGGGCACTCAAGTTCAAGAGGTGGAAGAAAAAGAGCCAGAATGATAAAAAAGGAAAACATTTTTAACATTTCCATTACAAAACCCCAAGGTGCACATGGCAAAAAATCCACCCGCTCCTGTTTAAAAGCCATAACCTGAAATATAAATATAATTGTTCATCCTTCTTTTAAAGAAATATATTTTCCCAATGTCATCCCTGGAAGTGTCAGCATTCTCAAAAGGATGTCTAAACCCTAACTTCCTCTCCTAGGGGGCGGGGGTGGCCCTCAGAAAAGACAGGAGCAGGGATTCAAGGTAGCTGAAAAACTAAGAATCCCGAGGGCAGAGAAAAATCCAAACTCTCTCACCTGCCTCTAATGCCGTGGAGAAGCAATGGATGGGAGGGAGGCACTGTGCCTGTGTTAAGAGCCTTCAAGTCCTCTGGCCCACAGCCGGGGCAGACAGAGGGGCTAGGGGCTGCCATTTCTCCTGCAGGCCCCCCCGGGGCCTAGTCTTGGGTCTGCCCACTTGTCAGGTGAGGTGAAACAGCAACCCACGAGTGGTTTTAACCGAATTCTTTAAGAACACTTCCTCCCTGTGGTGTTCTTCCTGCTCCTTTCTCCAAAGTTCCAGCTTAGCCAACCCTGTTAGTAGTTGACCTTTACAAAACTAGTGGCCACAGGAGGCTTGGGGGCCCAAACACATGGGATAATAATTATGGGGCATTCAGAGTCTGGGAGAGAACAGTCAGCTCTGGTATTTTCCAAGACGAGCCCTTCTCAGCAAGGACTATGAGGAGGGGAGCGGGTGGTGGACACTGACGTAAGTGCACGGAACACTGCAACTTCCTCTCATTCTCACCCATTCCTCCCTCAACCCTTCTGTGCCCAGCGTCGGCAGGCCAGCAGGGGCAGGGAAGTGTCACAGTTGCCGGACAGGATCAGAGGGCCTCCACCTGCGCCCAAACAGCGGGGAGGGCCACGCCGGATCAAGCCCATACTGGGAGGAGTGGGTGACACCCGGGGCGGGGGGGGGGGGGGGGAGGAACTTGGGCCACGATGTTAGAGTCGGAGATGGGGTACTGGCTTGGTCACATCCTGGAAGAAGGGGTGAGCCAGAGCTGCCTTTGCCGAAATCCGCTTGTTGGGGTCATAGTGCAACATTTGCTGGAGGGAGAGACGGATGCGGACTTCAGTGAAATCAGGAAACCAGGACTCCTGGTTCCCAAGACAGAGTTCTCACTGCCCCCCTCCCCTCTCTGAGCCAGCCGATGGGGAGAGAAGCGCAAAGGCGGAGACCCCCGGGTCAGGGGCTCATCTTCCTCCATCGTAGGCAAGCCCTTCCCGCGGACAGGGCACGAGCAAGGGGAAACAGATGCCCACTCTCACCGATAACAAGCTCCGTCCATCTTCATCCAGGGGAGGCACGACTTTGCTAAAATCCTGCCGGGCCCACTTGGGGAAACTCGGCTTGTAATCGGGCATTGAAGTAACTCCTGGCCAAACCACCTCATCTGGGGTCCCCAGAGTCCGGAAGATCCGGAAGAGCTGGTCAATCTCAGAATCACCAGGGAACAGGGCCCGGCGGGTCACCTGAAAAGGGGGAGGGGAGGCAAAGACCCACACTGACGTCAGTCACAGCTGTCCCCCGCACAGAAGAGGTTCCCACAGGCAGTGGAAGGTCAGCAGGGCCCCATGACTCCCTCCCCAGGGCCTGCCATGGGGTCAGTCACACACAGCCTGAGACAATGAAGTCCCTTCATCTGGCTCCTCACCCCTCCTTCCTTCCCCCATCCATGGCTTTACAGACCCCCAAGGCTGGGTGGGGCTGGGAGGGGCTGAATGTCTGGGGTGCCGCTGACACGTAGCAAAGGGATCCCAAGCCACTCACGGGATGTGGGGTAGACACTGCGGTCATCCCCCCTCCTTGGGATGCGGCCACTTCTAGATAGGAGCACAGCGGGCAGAGACTGTGTCTTCCATTTCTTCTGTGTTCCCCACAGCACCCAGCATGGTGCTGGGCACACACTAGGTGCTTAACAGATATTTTTTAATGAATTGAGAGCAGAATATGGGCAACTGCAAGGTAATGCACTGGGGACGATGTATAGGCTATTGTCTCCTAGTCCCCAGTGGCAACCCACGTAAAGGACCATAAAACTTATTGCTGCTGGATTGGAAGATTCGGCCTACTCCACGGTTCCGTTATGGGGAGATAGGGGGGAGGGGACGTGATTGAAGCCTGCAGATTGTGTGAAGGGTGTGGGTAAAGGGATCCCGGTTGGCTTACTCCATTCCTGGCAAATGAAGTCTACCGGCCAAATGAAGGAGCGGCTCCCTGGAAGGCATTCCCTCTAATATACGCAGACCAACAGTAAAACAGCTGCACAAATGATTTACCCATTTCAGGGTGAAGAGGGACACTAAGCCTGCTCGGGGGCCACGTCCTATCCTTTCCCCACACCCGCCTTGATGCTGCTGGAGAGAACCCTTTGAAAGAAGGGCCACGGGCCCAGGCCAAGAAACAGTCCTGTTGTTCTTAGACGTGGGGAGGAACGGGCTGGGTGGAACTTGGGACAAGCCTCCGTACCATCTCGGCAAAGATGCAGCCCAGGCTCCAGATGTCCACGGCTGTGGAGTAGTATTTGCAGCCCAGGAGGATCTCAGGGGCTCGGTACCACAGGGTCACCACCTGGGAGACAAGAAGAGGAATGAGAGCTGGCTTCCAGGGCCCTCACCTCTCAGCTCCACTCTGCTAACTCTTAGCCTTAAAACAAGATGTTTCTCTCCTCCATCCTCCCCCTCCTCTGATCTCCCTGTGAGAAGCGATTACACACAACTTCTTAGCTCAGAGTTAGCCTAGTCCACATAGGGGCCATATCTTCTGAACCTCCAAGCTGGGACTTTCCTGGAAAACTTGCGACAAACGGTCCTAATTTTAGTGGTGTCCCATCCAGCTGTCCTGGCTTAGGAAAAGCCCATTGCCAGCGACAACTGCATCTCACATGGGAGTGCTGGTTCAAGTCTTAGCTGCTCCACTTCTGATCCAGCTGTCTGTTAATGTGCCTAGAAAAGCAGTGAATGATGGCCCACCCACGCAGGAGCCTGACCCAGCTCTGGCTGTTGTGTCCATTTGGGGAGTGAACCAAGAGGTGCAAGATCTCTCTTTCTCTGTCTCTCCACCTTTCAAATAAGTAGAATTAACCTTTAAAAAGAAAAATCCCAGTTAGCACCACAGAAGGAACTGTGTGCATACCCTAAGACCCCTTAGGGTCTCAGAGATTCTTTTCATATAGTAAGAGAAACTGTTGGCCAAATATTTCTAGTAACTTTGTGAATGCCCTTGTTAACCCCTCCTGGGGAGCTCAGAGAAGAAAAGCAAGGCGGGGGGTGGAGGGGTTTGTGGACTCACCTCGTGGGTGTAAGTACGAACAGGCACTCCAAAGGCTCTGGCTAGTCCAAAGTCGGCTAACTTGATGGAGCCCTCTGCATTGATAAGTAGATTCTGAGGTTTTAGATCTCGGTGCAGGACCCGATGAGAATGGCAGAACGCTAGGCCTTGGAGCAGCTGGAACAGATAGCTCTGACAGGGGGAAGAGAGGGGATTGTTGTTCAATCACAACAAGCACATCAGTTTGCTCTTTGCCCACAGAGCTCCACTAAAGTCTTTACTATGTTATTTTGTAGTTACAAGCTATTTTTGCTGGTAGGACTCCCAGTCCCAGGAAGATCAGGACCAGGTCTTAAGCAGATTTGTATCTCTTTCATGCCCTGTAGCTACAGGTTGAAGGTTTAATACACATGCATTCAAGAAACACTAGTTGGGGGCCAGCGCTGTGGCGTAGCAGGTAAAGCTGCTGCAGCAGTGCCAGCATCCTGTATGAATGCCAGTTTGAGTCCCAGCTGCACCACTTCCGATCCAGCACTCTGCTATGGCCTGGGAAAGCAGTAGAAGATGGCCCAAGTCCTTGGGCCCCTGCAACCACATGGGAGACCAGGAAGAAGCTCCCGGCTCCTGGTTCCTGGCTTCAGATTGGCCCAGCTCTGGCCGTTGCAGTCAACTGGGGAGTAAACCAGGGGATGGAAGACCTTACTGTCTCTGCCTCTCCTTCTCTGTGTAACTCTTTTAGATAAATAAATAAATCTCGGAGCTGGCACGGTGGCACAGCGGGTTAACGCTCTGGCCTGAAGCACCAGCATCCCATATGGGCACCGGTTCTAGTCCCGGCTGCTCCTCTTCCAATCCAGCTCTCTGTTATGGCCTGGGAAAGCAGTAGAAGATGGCCCAAGGACTTGGGCCCCTGCTCCCATGTGGGAGACCTGGAAGAAGCTCCTGGCTCCTGGCTTCGGATTGGCACAGCTCCAGCCGTTGCAGCCAACTGGGGAGTGGGAAATCGGATGGAAGACCCCCCCCCTCCCCTTCTCTAACTCTTTCAGATAGATAAATAAATCTTTAAAAAAAAAAAAAAAAAAGAAACACTTGTTGATAGATGGAAAGTCACTCTGGGAGTGAAGAATCCAGTTCTACAACAGACAACAGAGATTCCTTGACTATTTCTCCCACTAAAAAGACAAAAGGGCTTTTTGAAGGGATCTACCAAGAGCTCACAAATCCCATTTATCTGAGTTTCATCTGACCTCCCACCTGAGCCACGGGGTTGAGTCACTAAGTTTCAACTTTGATTCTCCAGCCCAGCCCTAGGGTTAATGAGTATAATGAGCAGGGAAAGAGACAAAAAGTACTAGGAGTGTGGGGGTTGGTGGGGGAGGGTGATGAGGGCTCTGCAGAAGGCCAAGATAACAATCACTCAGAAGGATCACCTTGATGAGGGGAAGAGGAATGCCAGTGAGAGCAGAGGCATCCATGAATTTCTTGAGATCTTGGTGCAGGAATTCAAAAACGAGGTAAAGTTTGTTTTCCGTGTGGATGACATCCAGCAGCCTAGGGAAAGGAAGACCCAGGAAGTGGAAGGGCAGCAGAGACCACCCAGACCACAGAGAGGTTCAACCTCCTTTGCTGTGATCACCTCCCAGACGCACACTTACTTGACAATATTGGGGTGGTTAAGCTCCTTAAGCAGAGAGATCTCCCGGATGGCAGTGCTGGGTACACCTTCAGTCTCACTTGGAAAGGTTGAGAAAGCAGACTCGAATATGGTTACAAATACCGCTCCCATCCCCCCAGCCCCAAAAGGCCCCCCCTAAGAAAAGTAAAGATAATTTCTGGGTAGTCAGGGTGTGGCTTTCAGATCCATTCAGATCCTTAGTTCCTCCTTTCCCAGGGCTATATAAGTAAAGCCTCCCTGGTGAAGGTGAGCCAGGGAGGTGACAGAACAAAATACGTAGCAGTGGCACCCAGCCTCCCCAGAGGGGCCAGTGGGGCTCAACTGCCATTCTTTGGAGGGAGAGAATTCTAAAGTGAGAGTGGAGCTGAGGCAGCGCGGAGGGCTAGTAACTCTGAAAAGTGCTCATTAGGTCCCGCATAACCCTGCGCCAAGGGGGCTCCTAGACACCCGCCCTCCCCAATCCCGGGGGCCTCCTTTCTTGCCCCCGGAGTCTTTCTGGTTGCACATTTTGGGGGCATCCACCCCCCACACCTCCGGCTGAGTGTCGGGAAGAGGCTTTCCACAGACTCTACGCCACCCTACACTCTCCCTGGCGAAACTCCGTACGCTGTCTCACTTCAAAAGGCGGCCCACCCTGCTACCTTCCGGTCCCTGGACGGCTCCACGCCTGTGGGGGCGCGCGGTGGGGGCGGGGGGCGTCCCGGCGCGCCCCGGCTAAGGGTCGCGGCTACGGAGGCCACTCACGTGTCCAGGCGGATTTTCTTGAGCGCCACCACTTCTCCCGTCAGCTTGTTTTTGGCTTTGTACACCACTCCGTACGTGCCCTCTCCGATCTTTTCCACCTTTTGGAAGTTCTCCATGAAGCGCCAGCGAGCCGGGTCCGCCCGGCCCTGGAGCCGGGGGGCCTGGGAACCCTGCAGAAAGCGGGCCCGGGCTCTCGTGGGCGGAGGGGCGGGAAACAGGACCCAGCACCGAGGCCCCAGGGCGCGATGGAACGCTGTGTATCCCTCGCTCTTGTCAATTTGTCCAACTTGAAACAATGTTGCCGCCTCCACCCCCCCGTTCCCGACCGCCACCAGAGGCCCCGCCTCTCCTTCCCGCGTTTCCCTGGCCCCGCCCCCTCCCTTTCCGATTGGCGGGCGTAAGAAGGGGAGGGGCCGGGCCCGCTCTCCGCGCCGCCGAGGACCCCGCCCCGCGCAAGTTTGGTTCCAAGGGCGGAGACTGGTGTCTGTCTCCGTGGCATGGTTGAGCCCCTGTTCCCAAGCACCTGGCTGTAGTCCCGTCTCCAGGCGGTAGTAGGGATTCTCTGACCTCTCACTATTTTCACCTCGCCCCTTGGGAAAATGTGTGGATTAAAAATTCCAACTGGTCTAGGGAGACTCCTTTGAAAAGCAAGGAAGCTTCGGATTCTCGCCGTAGAGGATTTCTGGGCCTCGGAGGTGTCGTTGCCCGCGCCCCTCAGCCTGCCCAGATAGTGTCTCCCTTTGTTTTTGGACGCCGGGGTTCCTAGTCTGATAGAACCGGTGCATTAGCTCTTCCACGATGAATGGTGTGTGTCGCATGTGTGCTCTGTAGCTGCTTTGCAGCCAACTCTTCCCCAGGGGATGGAGGATAGAGATGACAGCGACCCAGTGAAACCAGAAACTGTCTTTGTGTAGCAGGGTGGGGAAGGAAGGTCCAGCCAGGGACCGGGGTCCCTAGCCGGTTCTGCCCACCCCCCCTCCAGTCCTCCTGCCCCTCCCAGGCCTCCCCTGGAGAGAAAGGAGGAAGGGCTATGCAAATGTGCACCCCTTTCTTATATAGGGGCTTGGGCCGGCCCCCCAGCGCCTTTGGTTGCTGGAGAGAAGAACAGGATGGACCTGGTGCTGAGAGGGTGCCTTCTCCACTTGGCTGGGATGAGTGTCCTGCTGGCTGCAGGGGGCGCAGAAGGTGAGTGTGGGTGCAAGGACAGGAGCAGGTGTGAATTTGAGGACGCACACCTTCTCTGGTTTCCCCGCCTCCTGGTGGGAGATGCCAGCAACACTTCATACTTCTCCCATGTATTTGGTTTGGTGAGGACATGAGAGTACCTGAGCCCCCTCCCTCCAAGGAGATTTGGGATTGAGTATGAAAATAATCCATCTCCTTGGAGGGACAGAGGATAGTGGGTCTTTGCAGCACAAATTCAGACACCCCTTGGGTGGTGAACTGCAGCAAGGACTCTAAGGGGTGAAATTGGTGGGGGGGGGACTCTTGTAGGTAATGTCTCAGACACTTTGGAGTAGGGGATTTAAAGTGGGAAGTAAGAGAGTGTAGCGTTGGATCAGAAGGCTCAATGGGCACCACCGTCCCCTTTTGGATGGGGATGAGTGAACACAGCCCAGACCTTTTGTTCTGGCAGAGGGGTCTCAGCTGAACATCACATGCAAGGGCTCTGGGGGATTGGGACCTCGTGACGGGAGCAAGAGAGGGAGGGTGAGAGGGTCTGGAATGTCCCGTGCTGCTCCGAGGAGGGGGGGGTTGGAGTTCGAGAAAGAACAGAGCATCTTATGACTTTTCTTTGTCTGGTGGCATGATGCTCAAGAGATAACTCCAGATCTTCCCCCAGCACCCCAGAAATGGGGTGAGAATGCTTTCTACTGTGCTAAAATAAGCCCCTCATATCCCGACCACTTGCTTTCCCTCTCTCCATCCCTGGGCTCACTGCTTCTCGGAAGTTCTCCTGAATCCGACTTCCCTCTTTCCTGCTGCAGTTTTAGTCCTCTCCTTTCACTATGTTCCTTTATGTATGCTGGAAACATTCTACTCACCCACACACCTGAGGCTCTTGGGAGATGGTGCTAACATCTTGGATCTTGCTTTTGAAAATCATGAGAAGACTTTTTTTTTTTCGTAAATATTCTTGGAATTTTACATGGCCTGGGCTTGATCATTTTGTCCAGTGTCAAATGACATTGCATTTATGAAAGAAAAATTTTTTCCATATACGTATTGAATTTGTAGAGTTAAATAACAAAACATTTTTTTTTTTTTTGAGATATGTTAGCCAAATGCAAGAACAGCAGCCAGGTAAGGTAACTTAAAGCCAACGCAGCAGAATGTTGGTAGTTGTTGGATCTGGGTGAGGGAATATGGAGGTCCATCCCATGCTTGTTTCCACTCAGACACTTTCTTGGTCAGGTACAGATTTGATTGCTCTGTCCCCACCTCCAATCTCTGCCAGCCCCTAACCCCTCCTCCTCATTTCTTGCCCTAGTGATCTTTCTAAATCACACATTTTTGATTACATTCAAACAGCTTCTGAAGGATAAATTTTATGTTAAGTGACTTATGTTTCAATGTGAAACAAAACAAAGTAAAAAAAAAAAAAAAAGACAAACCTTCAAAAGTGGCCATGACTATAGGATAAAGACCAAACCCCTCAGCCTGGTACCCCACGGCCCCACACATCCCCTCAGCCCATGGGAGTGCACCCTTGCTTGTGGTCCTAGGGCAGCACCTCGTTGAAGCCTTTCCCAACACCCCAGCACTAGCGTGGAATTCATTTGTTCGGTATGGCATCCTTCTGTACGACCTTTGTGTCTGTTGTGGTACATACTGAACAGTACCACCGGGGTGGCATTGGGCCTCGTGGTTGCAATGCCTGCTGTCGGCATCAAAGGGCCTGGGTTTGACACCAGATCTGCTCCCGCCTCCAGCTTCCCACCTGGGAAGCAGACCCTGGGAAGCAACAGAGATGGCTCCAGTGATTAGGTTTCTGTTACCCACATGAAAGATCTGGGTCGATTTCCCAGCGCCTAACTTTGGCCCCAGCTGGGAACTGTTGGGTCGTGAATCAGCAGATGGTGGCTCTTGCTCTGTTTCTCTGCTGCTCAAAAATAAATAAATAAACAAAATAAATAAATAAATAAATAAAGCTTGCCATTACAGTAATTTATGTATGTGTCCATTCCTACATTTCACTCTAAATTCTTTCAGAGCCGTATCTTATTCGTTTCTTAAGTTCTTTGTGCCTCTGGGGAAGCTATTGTGGTAGAGCAGGTTAAGCCGCTATTTCGGACACCTGCTCCCATGTGGGAGTGCCGGTTGGAATAATGGTATCCCATGCTCCACATCCAGCTCCCCGCTGGCGTGCATGGGAAGCAGCGGATAGTGGCTCAAGTACTTGAGTCCCCACCACCTATGTGGGAGACCAGGATGGAGTTCCTGGCTCCTGGCTTCTTCCTGGCCCAAAGCTCTGGCTGTTGCTGCCCTCTGGGGGTGAACCCGCAGATGGAAGATCTGTTTCTGTCTCCTCTGTCACTCTCCCTTTCAAATAAGTAAATAAATCTTTGTGCCTAGAACAGTGTCTAGTACATGGTGCCAATGAAAATGCAATTTGAATGTGAGAATGACTGGGGTGACATGGAATAAAGTGCTATCTCTGAGAAGGAATGGGTAGCCGGCGCCGTGGCTCAATAGGCTAATCCTCTGCCTTGCAGCGCTGGCACACCGGGTTCTAGTCCCGGTCAGGGCGCCGGATTCTGTCCCGGTTGCCCCTCTTCCAGGCCAGCTCTCTGCTGTGGCCCGGGAGTGCAGTGGAGGATGGCCCAAGTGCTTGGGCCCTACACCCCATGGGAGACCAGGAGAAGCACCTGGCTCCTGGTTTTGGATCAGCGCAGTGCGCCTGCCACAGCGCTGACTGCGGCGGCCATTGGAGGGTGAACCAATGGCAAAGGAAGACCTTTCTCTCTGTCTCTCTCTCTCTCACTGTCCACTCTAAAAAAAGAGAGAGAAGGAATGGGTGAGGATTCATGGTGAATTCCCTTTAGGATCCACAGACCGGGACTGGCTTGGTGCCTCAAGGAAGCTCAGAGCTAAAGCGTGGAACAGGCAGCTGTACCCAGAGTGGACAGAAGCCCAGAGGTCTGACTGTTGGAGAGGTAGGAGGGAACCTGATGGGACTGGGATGGAAGAAGAACAAAAACTGAGATGTTGGGGGTGAGCACTGAGTGCCGCTTTGAGTCTGGGCTCCTCTGCTTCTGATCCACTTTCCTACTAACGCAGCAGATAATGGCCTGAGTTCTTGGTTCCCCGCCACCCATGTAGGAGTCCTGGATGGAGTCCTTGGCTTGGCCTTCCAAATGTTGCAAACATTTGGGAAATGAACCAGCAGATGGAATCTCTCTCTTTCTCTTTCCCTCACCCTACCCCCATCTATCTGCCCTTAAAATTAATTAATTAATTAATTTAAAAAAAGGTGGGGTGGGGGTCAGGCATGCCGGCATTGTGGCTCAGTGGATTAAGCCACTGCTTCCAATGCTATCATACCATATTGGAGTACCAGCTGGAGTCCCAGTTGCTCTGCCTGTGATCCAGCTCCCTGCATCTGGGAAAGCAGCAGAAGATGGCTCAAATCCTCGGGCCCCTGACTTCCATATGGGAGACTTGGATGGAGTTCAGGCTCCTGACTTTGCCTGGCCCGGCCCTGACCTTTGTGGCCATTTGGGGAGTGAACCAGCAGATGGAAGATCTCTCTCTCTCTCTCCATCTCTCTCTCTGCCTTTCAAATCAATAAACCATTAAAAAAAAAAAAAAAGAACTGGGTTGTATGTAACTTGAGAAGATAGAATGGGAAAGGTGAATGGGGAGAGAAGCTGAGGACTCCCAGCTGATGTGGCGTCCCCTCCCAGGTGGCCAGGTGTCCCTGAAGGTCAGCAATGATGGGCCTACACTGATTGGTGCAAACGCGTCCTTCTCCATCGCCCTGCACTTTCCTGAAAGCCAAAAGGTACTGCCAGATGGGCAAATTGTCTGGGCCAACAACACCACTCTCAACGGTGAGTGCCTGTCTACTCCAGGTCCCTCTGCCTCCAGCTCAGATTTCCTGGTTATTCCCAGGGAGCTCAGGGAAAGCCCCCTTCCCCCTCTCTTTGTAACAAATGTTATATATGTAACACACACACACACACATTGAAATAAAATTAGGGCCGGCGCCGTGGCTCAATAGGCTAATCCTCCGCCTGCGGCGCCAGCACACCAGGTTCTAGTCCCGGTCGGGCGCCGGATTCTGTCCCGGTCGCTCCTCTTCCAGTCCAGCTCTCTGCTGTGGCCCGGGAAGGCAGAG